TTTATAATGGTTGTATCTTTTTGTCTGAAAATCTGTAGCCTTCACCTGCAACAGCTGGTGGCTCTGGAGGGGGTTCTGACACTGAAATATCCACAGATCTCTGCTCATATTTTCTCCTCCCCCTGTTACATCATAATCTCCATCATTATACTTATTTTTACTTTAATGTGTGCATTCCTACTGACTTTTGGTGGCCTTAATGGTGTGAGTCTTGGTTTTGGCTCAGTTCTGGCTCCTGTGTGTTTATTGGTTGTCACAGGCATAATCACCTACAAAGCTCTGCCCACTCCTGCCGGCACACCTGTCACTGACAACAGACCAGGCTCATCGTTCATTCTTGTTACCATTTTTACTGTAGGTGTGCTTTATTTACCATGTGTGCTGGTCCACTGTGTGCACATCTTCTTTTTTAACCTCCCAGTGTCTTGGTACGTGATGTCTTACTGTTTGTTGAGTTTGACAGTGATTTCAGAGCCTCTCCTGTGTGTGCTGGTCTGCAGAGAGAATCTCAGCACTCAGACAAAACAAACTCACATAGAATTCAACTCTCAACAGAGAGCAGTCTGAACTGATTTGTCATCAGTTGCTTTGACTTTGTATTTGCTAAATATGCTTATTAATATTAATAAATGCAGAGAGTTGATTATTAAAACTGGAGACAAGTGGACAGGGAATGGAAAAAAAACAAACTCCAGGGTCTGTGTACTTTTGCGTCAATTCATTTTAACCATGAGGGGGCAACAAAATGAAAAAAAGAATGGTTGTTGTATTTTTAAATGCTACTGTATGTTGAAAGCCAAAATTGAAATTAGAACCATACACACAAAATACTGCCTGTAAAAGTTAAATATTGACTTCTTTTCAGATTTTTAGTTATGACTTTATGCACCTTTAATAAACATTTCCAAAATGCACAAATTAATATAGAAAAATGCTGATTTTACAAGTTTTCTTTGGCCAAATTAACACTGGGTTAGTTGTAACACACATGGTTTAAACATTTCCACACATGCTAGCATGACAAAACTAGTTGCCATATCAAAACTATATAGAGGAAAATGTGCCAAAAATATTTTGAAGATATCACCGAATATTTATTTAACCATAGCAAAAGTACATTGCTGACTGAAGTAAATTTCCCATCTCAATTTGTAGTGTTTATTTAAACTGAGACAAATCTGCTATTATTTTAATCTCCAATCTGTTATTTAGCAGTCTCTTTAATGCTTTCCTTACTAGCAGAAGAAACTAAGCCGTTATAAATTCCAATTGCACAGATTGGGAATGTTGTAACACTGCGTTACAATGTGCCCTGCTATTATTAAACTATGCTACTGTAAGAAAAAAATATGAGGACGTTGAAGATCTCAATGAGCATTTTTATTACAGCATACACTCTTAAAAATAAAGGTGCTTCAAAAGGTTCTTCAAGCGATGCCATAGAAGAACCATTTTTGGTTCCACAAAGAACCATTCAGTGAAAGGTTCTTTAAAGAACCATCTCTTTCTTATCTTTTTATAATCTGAAGAACCTTCTTTCGCCACAAAGAACCTTTTGTGAAACAGAAAGGTTCTTCAGATGTTAAAGGTTCTTTATGGAACCATTTAGACAAAAAGGTTCTTCTATGGCATCGTGAAGCACCTTTATTTTTAAGAGTGTAGCAGTGACAAAGTACATGTTGTACCTTTGGTTCATCAGAGTCAGAATGAACCCCAAACATCCTAAACTCAAACCTTTTATACACTTACATTTTTTAGTTTACTGTTGTAGCGTCTGGACCAATCAAACACGCAATATATATTTTGTTAGCTATATTTAACAAATACTCTGTAACACCCCTCAGTTAACAAGCCATATGAGGACATGCAAGTATTAAACTTAGTCGTATTAATTGATACATTAGGTATCATTTGCACCTTTTTACAAAGGTGTGTTTGAACTAAGAATCTGATGTTTCCTTCAGGCGGTAGATCTGCTGAATATGCAAATGGTTCCATAACTTCATATTCTTATTTTCACTCCTCTTTACTGAGTTAAGCTTTAACCCTTTCCTATACCAACTGTATGTGTGTGTGTGTGTGTATGTGTATGTTAGACCAGTTTAAGTGTTTATGTAGTATGTTAGACTAGTTTAAGTGTTTATGTAGTTAATAAAGTCTTACTTGTATCACACTTGACGTTGTTCATTGTTTGCTCATAACTGGAGTCACTTAATCATGCAGATTTATGCTACAAGCTCTGTGTAGAATTGTACAGTAAGAAAGTTATTTCCCTTAACCAGGAAATTAACGTTCTTAGAATTGACAGACAGTTGACCCTGAAAGGTCAAGTAAATATCTACAGCGGATCTAAATATTTATAATTAATTATAACTAGTTTAACAATTTTTTTTTTTTTCATTTAATCAGATAACATTTTAAGCTGTGTTAAAACGTGTCCCTCAGATGTTACAGTGTGCATCTTGTCACATTTCACTTCTATTCATTTGGGGTAAATAAAGAAAAAAGTATACACTGTAATTATGAATAACACACATATTTGTACTAGACAAGTATGAAATTAATGTTGAAAAAAAAATTACACTCTGAACCCAATGTGGATTTACACAAACTGAGAAAGTCAAAAAAGTGCATCCTACATCAGGTTAGAGCGCTACTCACAAGGCTTTAATATATGGGGTAAACATATGAATATAATATAGAAATATATAAAATTATAATTTCTCCTACTTCTCCATTTACAGACAGGCCCGGTTCCAGAATCAAATCACTGAGGGTGCTTCTGAAATTAGTGAGGGTGCTCTAGCCTTAATTTACATCTATCTTGACATATTTTTGCCCTGTCCATTGTAATGGTTGCATATAAATGTTGCATTTATATGCAGATGTCACTTCCGAAACTTTGCAGTTTGTGAGCGGTTATTCCGCCCCGTTTGTTATCTCAGGTCTGGGACGTGGTGGGTTCCACGATTCTGTCAATAGTGCATCAGAGTCTTTCAGAGGGATTAGTTTCATCCTATTCTAAGCACACCCTGGTGCAGCCTCTTCTAATGGTCTGGACCCATCAGTGCTGAATAATTACAGACCAATGTCAAAATTGCTGTCTTTAGCTAAAATATTGGAGAAGGTCATTCTTAATCAACTTTAAAAATTTTTAAAATGTATGATAAATTTCAATCTCGTTTTACATCTCAGCATAGCATAGAAACTGCTCTTCTCAAAGTGACTAATGATTTGTTGTTGTCGGTAGACTCTGGGAACTGTGCTGTTTTGGTGCTTCGTGATCTTAGTGCAGCATTCGATACTGTGGATCATGGGATTCTTCTTGACCGTCTGAGTCAGTGGGGTGGTATCAGGAGGCAGGCACTAAAGTGGTTCTCATAATATCTGCAAGAGAGAACCTTTGCAAGGCAATTAGGGAGCTCTATTTCCTCCTCTCAGCCTATCGCTTCTGGGGTTCCTCAGGGTTCCTGTCTTGGCCCTGTCTTGTTTTCTTTATATATGCTCCCACTGGGATTAATCTCTAAAAAATACAATGTGGCATATTATTGTTATGCCTACAATACCCAGCTGTGTCTACAGTTGAAACGTAATGACTCCAAACTTGCATCTCTGTTTGATTGCTTGGATGAAATAAAGGTGTGGATGGCATCGCGTTTCCTGCAGCTTAATGAGTCTGAAGTGGTGATCTTTGGTCCATTGAAGTTAGCCAAACAGCTTTCACTACATCTTGGGCCATTAGCCCCCAATCTTAACATTCAGGTGAGGAACCTAGGTGTGATTTTTGACTCTGAGCTGAAATTTGATAAACAAATTAAAGCCGTGGTAAAAGGTAGCTTTTTCAATTGAGGGGCATTGCCAAATTGAAAAGTTTTTTTGTCTTTTAAAGATATGGACACCGTGATTCATGTGTTATTTCATCCAGACTGGATTATTGTAATTCTTTATATCTGGGGATATCTAAGATCTTGCTTTCACGGATACAGTTGGTGCAAAATGCAGTGTGCAGAGTGTTGACTGGCACAAGGAAATGCTCCAGTATCTCTCCAGTACTGGCTTCCTGTTGATTTTAGAGATCAATATAAGGTTTTGTTAAAGGTATATCTCCAGTCTGTTACAGCATCATCATCCTGCTAGACATTTAAGATCATCTCAGATTTTCCTCTTAAATGTCCCAAAATCACGGTTGAAAACCAAAGGAGATTGTGTCTTCAGTGGCTGTGCCATGCCTATGGACTACTTTAAATTGATGTTGAAGACGCACCTCTACTCTGTTGCAATTAATCGTCCTTAAGTGCATGGAGACTGAAGAATGATGAGTTTTGTGTTTTAATGTATTTGTGTTTAGGTGTTTTGTAATTTTGCGAGAGTCAAGTCACCTTTATTTATATAGCGCTTTACACAATACAGATTGTGTCAAAGCAGCTTTACAGTGTTATACAGGAAAAACGTGTGCTGATAATGCAAGGGTGCAATAGAAAACAGTCAGTTTATCAGTTAAAGTCAGTTTATTGTTGATTCAGTGTTGTCATCGTCTAGCTCATTTAAATTCTCTTCCAATAGTGTCTGTGCAGTCAAGTCAACAATGTTGCCAGAAATTGTAAAGCACTTTGGTCAACTTATGTTGTTTTTAAATGTGCTACAGAAATAAATGTTGAATGACTGATTAATATTTTGTACTTATTAAATAAACTGGACCTCCAAACACACCTACATCCTACATTACAGAACTGTTTAATAATCTACATACGGACTCAATGACCAGTTAAATGCTTGAATGATAGTTAAAATATATATTAAAACATTTTTGAATATCTATGATCAAAAAGTGTTCTTAATTGTATTGAAATGTATTGACCGGAGCGTGCCTGGCTTGTATCTTGGCATTTTATCACTCTTTATGTTTTGTTCATTATCAATAAGCTTAATATTGATGTCTGTTGTGCTTCTACATTTCGGAGCAAATGTACAAAGGACTGGACAGTGTTGAACCACACGCAAGTTACTGGAATCCATCATTTATTCGCATGTTTTTTTACACCACTTTCCCACTGCAGCTTTGTGCATACAACACATAAATTATGCACAGATATAATTCCTTCATTCACAACTTCATTAGAATTAATTATAAATTCAAGTCTGCTACAAAATACAGTGTCGAGATACATTATAAAATACTCTTTTACTCCCATTTATAAAGACAACACAAATACATATTTCATAGAAAGAAAAATAGGTTATGTTTGTTAAATTAATTACAGAACACAAACATTCATTGGTGTCATTTGCCTGTATGTGAAACAAAACCACCAAAAAAAAAAAACGTAGTGCAAGAATATTGTGTTACATCACGGTGCTTCAACCTATAAAAAAATGACAGAAATGTGTCCAATATTGCTGTTTATTTTTTTTCTGCCTCAAATTCTCTTTAGCCTTCCATCTTTATTCTTTTGTTACATATAACAATCCCAGGCTTTTTGTACCACACACCTGTTCTTTTCCTCATTTATTTCTTTGAAACCAAAGAGGCCCGTCCAGATCGTATACTTGGTGCCACATGATGTGAGAATGGCTCATCTGAGTTCTGATTCAGCCACATCTCTCCTCATAAGATTGTCTCAGAGCAGTTCTGCCTCATCGTCCTCATCCTCAGAGCCGGACGGACCCTGCCGCACCTCCTCATACCACTTATTAGTGAGCGTCTTCATCTGGATCCGCCCATGCAGCAGGTCCTTAGAGAGGAAGGAAGAATAACAGATTACGAACCCTATTTATTTATTTTCGTACACTGGACTAATGTGTATGAAGGTTATGAGCAGTCTAACCTCTTGTGTGAGTCTACGGGTGAAGAAAGGGTTCAGATACTTGGCATCAAGCCACAGGAAGCCCTTCAGATCCTGCCTCTGAAAAATCTGAGCTTCATACTCCTCCTCTGTCAACTCCGACAAATGCTCAGATTCAATGGCGTTACCCTGAGAGAGAGAGAGAGAGAGAGAGAGAGAAAGAGTTTGACTTTTAAACCCCTTTTAATTTACATCATTTTTCAAAACATTACAGAGCTAATACACAAAAGCAAAATAATAAATAAATAAATAAAAACACAGAGCAATTTTACCAATTAAAAACCATATTTCCAAACTCACTCAGTGTCACTAAAGCATCTCTCACACCCCACTTCATTTTGAAAAAAGGTACATTATCAGTTTGTTTGTAATATGCAAATTCAATAATTTGTTCACCCCCCCGGAGTCGTGTGAGACACTTTTTTTTATGGAAAGGCGCTTTTTATTTCAGGTCTTTTGGACTGAAGCACTGCAACACCCGCTGACTGAAATGATAGAGCTTGAAAGATCAAAGACAATTTTTAATATAACTCCGACTGGATTCGTCTGAAAGAAGATATACACCTAGGATGCCTCGGGGGTGAGTAAAACGTTTCATTTTTGGGTGAACTAACCCTTTAAAGATAATCTGAACATTGCTAGGTCGAGGTTTCTAACAGTGACAGTTCTTCGTAGCGGGCTGTTATGACAACAGCAACTTCTCTGATTGGATCCCACTTCAGGATTAAAATGTTTCCTTATTATTATTATTTTAACAACGTAGAAATCATAACAGCAGATTTTACAAAATAATATAAATGTATGCATTATTGCAAAAGTAATAACTTTCTGTGTGGAGTGTGCGCAGTTGCAGTTTATTGCATCAGTTATCGCGCGCCTTTTTGATTAGCTACCCACCCACGTAAGCAATAAAAACTACAGGCAAGACATCTGTTTTTATATTTGAATCTGTTCACTGTGAATTTGATTTAATAGTGCATCATACACTTTGTTAAGGTCTAATGTGGGCCGCCACTGGTCTGGGCCCTCGTATTTCGCCCACTTTTTGTGTTGTTTTTTATTTTATAAATAAATGTCACACCTGACAAACTGTGAATGAGCATATACGAAACTTTTGTAAATCTGGTGGATTTTTCAGAAAGGTCCCTTTTACATGCAAATTACTCTGAATTTTCATAAATCTATGAGTAAATTCAATCAATAAGATCCATTGCCTTTAAATCAAGACGTTCCTCTTTTGAAAAGAAAATGATAAAGATAACAGCTCTCTCACCATTTTCTCCGTTTTGCTCAAGTTGATGTCTTTCTTGTTCTTGCGCCGTGATTGGCTCTCCTCGATGTCCATGATGCGGATGAGGGGCATGGTCCCGCCCCCCAGCAGCAGGATGGTGAAGAGCACGATGACGATGGTGGTGGTGCCGATCAGCTGCCGCTTCTCTATGGGCTCCAGACCCAGATGAAGGCTGAGCGCGTAGGGGATCGCCCCCCGCAGACCTGAGCACATCACGTGTGCTCCGAGTCAATCACACATGCGTTTTATGACTCTACGGAATATCAGTATTTCTAAAAATGTACACATTACTATAAAACAATTGACATGAACTACTAAAATGTCATTTAAAATGGTGAAGAAGGAATAAGTGACTAGTTGCTGTGTGTGAATATGATATCGGATAAAGTAAATATTTGAAGCATAAAAACGTGAAAGCATAAGAATTAACTCACTTCACTTCAATTCACTTCAAGCTTTCAAACCACATGGAAACTTAAGTTCATCTTACCACTGAACCACATGACGAACATCATTTTGGGGTTGATTTTATGATCTCTGAAGAAGTTGAGCAGAAAGGAAAGGGGGAAGATATTCACAGCCCGACCGACGAGAACCAGAACCTGTGACAGGAGAACACTTCATGAGAAACCCAAACGACTGCATTCAGAATTATTAAACTGATATACATTATATTCATCATCAACTTGTCTTGTTTATTATAAGTGACATCAGATAGCATTCTAAAGAGCCAGTGACGTATCACACGTTCAGCAAGCATTCGTGTTTTATCAGATACTGAAGAGCAGAAAGAGTAATAATGCTCTGGAGCGAGACAATCGGGTGAAAACAAGCTCTTCGGCGACACCTACTATACACCAGATGACAAACGACAGCTCAAACTTATGAGGGAAACTGAAGATAGACAACCCCAGGAACGCAAACACACATGTTTCTGTGGAATCCAAATAGAAAAGAGAAGAGTTAGGTTCATGTTAACAGCAGATCTCCTCTGTGGAGCAGTGGGTCATGTGAGGCACTCACCGCACATGAAGGCCACGGTTCGAAGCGTCTGCTGCATGAGAATCTGAGTGACTGGTGATAAGTTATGATGAGTATAATGAGACATGACAATACCGGAGAAAAGAATGGCCATGATACCTACAGACAGAAAGAAATCAATTCTGATGAATTAACCCTGAAACTGATAAAACAGTATTAAACTCATCAAGATGTGTTTTTAACTCACCGGAGAGTTTGATGCCCTCGGCGAGACCATACGGCAGGTATGCAAATATAATCATCATCCCAAACTCCAGAGACGGAGTCTTCCTCAGGTCGAAGTGTTTCAGAACCTGCGTGCTCTCATTCAGAAACATAATCTCACAGGACGTCTTAAAATAAACAACTATGTACAAAAGATATGAAAGTAAACATTGAAAAGGTAATACACTACCGGTCAAAAGACTTGTAATGTTTTTTTAAAGAAGTCTCTTCTGCTCATCAAGGCTGCATTGATTTGATCAAAAATACAGAAAAAAATCTTGCAAAATGTTATTACAATATCAAATAATGGTTTCTATTTTAATATCCTTTAAAATGTAATTTATTTCTGTGATGCAAAGCTGAATTTCCATCATCATTACTCCAGTATAAAGTCATATCATCCCTTCAGAAATAATTTTAATATGCTGCTTTATTATTAGAATTATCAATGTTGGAAACAGTTGTGCTGCCAAATATTTTTTTTGGAAACTGCGATACTTTTTTCAGGATTCTTTGACACTATTATTACCTATGCATATTACTAGCATATTGGCTGTTTATTAGTACTTATAAAGCACATATTAATCCCTTAATGATTATGTAATTAATGATGCAATATAAATAATTGTATTAATAAAATGTATTAATAATAAATGTATTAATAAAACTAAAACCACTAAACCAAAAAATCATTAGAAACATTAAAACACACAAAATCATTAGGATACAATAGCAGAGATGAGACCAGTGAGTGTGCCCAAAGCGGCCGACCCAAAGAACATCTTCAGGAAGTAGCCGAGTGCCTGCATGAAGGTTTCCCAGCCTGTAGAGACATCTGAGCCCGCAAAGCCCTCCGCTGTACTGAAATACACACAACACACACACATCGACCACTGCTCACATCTGCTAACACGATAAAGACTGACAATTAAAGCAGAATAGGACTGAATTGTTCAAAATTTTAAATCACGGCCTGTACGTCCTGTACACAATATTTGCTTGGTACTGGAACAATTTACAATTAGAGTTTTGTAAATATTTTAAATACACAAAATTGAATGCTGTCTTGTCAACTGATTAGCTGAATTATGTGCATCTTGTTTGTACCATCCTCTGATTATTTATTTATCTAACAGACCCACTGATCGTCCTGACCTTTAACAAATAGCTCGCATTTGGTCAGCAGGGGGCAGTAGAGTCACAATACATCTCTTATCTACTGTACATACAGTACATAGGCGCCAACATATGTCAAACACTGGAGTGTTCATTTAACAGCTTCCAACTTGAACAATACATACTGCAAAAAATTCAGAGCTTGAAGACTAAAGAGATTCAGCGACTGAGACTCTTAAAACTAACGGTCGTATGTTGGCAGCCTGAGCATCCGATATCAAATGAACTGGCAATATTGAACAAATTACAGCACAGAATGATAATAAAACCACAAGGGTGAGTAGCCGGTAAGATTTTTAAAATTAAATAATCCATATTTTCTTTAATGTTTGATAACTAACTTGATATTATCAGCTAGGCTTGTGATGTAGATCAATGCATTGGAAATCTCCTCCTACTTTAAAAGGATAGTTCACCTAAAGATGAAAATTCGGTCATCATTTACCCTCAACTTGTTCGGTTTCTTTCTTCCGATGAACAAAAAAAAGAAGATATTTTGAAGAATACGGGACACCAAACAATCGCCGGTAGCCATTGACTTCCATGGTATTTTTTTTTTCCATTCTATGCGAGTCAATGGCCACCATCATGAATAAATTATGAGAACATTTTCATTCTTGGGTGAACCATCCCTTTATATTATGACAAGGCAAATGACCCAAAGCGTCCTATAGATAGCAAAATGTGATAATAGAATTGAATTCACATATATATGATTATGAATTAGTGCTTATGGAAGAATTTGTGTTGACTGTTAGTTATTTACTGCATATGCAAACCTGGTTGTATTTGGAAGAATGTATTATTGTGCCGAGACAACCATTTTAGCAACAACGCTATATATCAGCTATATATCTATACGATTTGTACTAGCTGATTATAAAGATCAACACATATCTTATCGTGCAGGACAGTTTGGCCCACGGGTGTAAAACTACACCCAGAGAGGAATTACTGCTTTCTAGGAAACACACAAACAGCTGCTCTGCAGACTCATCAATAACGAATGAGATCATTTTACCAGACAACTCTCAGGAGACAGTCATTGTACACACTCACAATGACCACGGGAAACAGCCAGAGTACACACTCACACAATGAACACAGACAACCCTGGAGCTGAGCTGAGAGGAAACGAGAGACAAGAGACATGAGGGGACAAGAGAAGACAGAGATGAGAAGAGACCAAACGAGAGACAAGTTGAGATGAGGAAGGGGAATGAGACTAGATGAGGAAAGACAAGAGACAAGGGACAAGATGAGACCGAAGACGAGAAGACAAAGTATGAGATGAGACGAGACAAGATGGGACAAAAGACAAGAATAGAAGACATTTACGAGGCAAAAGAGACTAGATGAGAATAGACTTGATGAGAGACAAGAGATGAGAAGCAACTAGAGAACTAGAAATGTCACAAAGAGACTACAAGAGAAAGACACGAGACGAATAAGAGACGAGAAGAGAGAATAAACAAAAAGAAAGACAAAGAGACAAAAAGAGAAAAGAGATGACTTGAAAAGTGGAGACAAGCTGAGATGAGACCAAATGAAATCAGACACAAGAGATGAGAGTAAAGATGATGAGTGAGCAAACGAGACGTGAGACGAGAAAAGAGAGAAAAATAAAAAGAGATGTAGCTATATGAAATGAGACAAGACAGAAAGGAGACAAGAAGAGACAGATGGAGACTGCAAAGGTCAAACATAAGAAGACATGAAACAAGACTACATTGGAAGAGAAACCAGATGATTTGAAATGAGAAGAGACAAGTAAAGAGACAAGTAAAGAGACTAGATGAGACAAAAGACAAGAAAATAAGAGACTTGATGAGAAGAGATGAGGGACACAATAAAAAAAATAACGCAAAGAGATGAGAAACATGACATGGCAAAAGAGACTAGCTGAGAAGTGACCAGAGAACAAGAAACGTCACAAAGAGACTACAAGAGGAAGACGCGAGACAAGACTGGAATGGAAGAGACGAGAAGAGAGAATAAACAAAAAGAAAGACAAATAGACAGAAAGAGAAAAGAGATGATTTGAAAAGTGAAGAGAGACAAGCTGAGATGAGACCAAATCAAATCAGAGACCAGAGATGAGAGTAGAGATGATGAGTGAGCAAACAAGACGTGACAAGAGAGAAAAATAAAAAGAGATGTAGCTTTATGAAATGAGACAAGACCGAAAGGAGACAAGAAGAGACAGATGGAGACTGCAAAGGTCAAGAACACTGCAAAGCCACACTGAGCGACTAAAGATACATGAGCGTCAGTATGTGCTACAGCAGACCACATGTCTCACCCTTCCTGTTAAACTTGTTTGTAACATGACTTCATCCAGATACATTAAGCTGTCATGTTCTGTCACATTTATACCGAGAACACCTGAGTCAAGTCTACGAAAACACAGGTAACATGAGGGCCAAATGGCCCATCGACAAATGCTCTGTAAAACATTTAAGAACATTACGTCCCAGTACGTAAGGCCAAGAACTCCTCCCACATTACCTCTCCCTATGAGCTCAGCGGTTAATGATGAGGTTTTGATATTCCATTAGAATTAGCAGTTTCTACATAAACACACACCGACAGCTGGATGCAATCGTGTTGCTACAACAAAACCAGCATGATGGCATGCATTGCCTCGTGAACTGATATTAATCATGTATGTGAAACTACACATGCACAAAAATAAAAAAGTCATTTCAAACAGCGCTTAATGGGAGATATAATATAGTATTATTAATTATAATAATAATGATAATATGTATACACTATATATATATAGTGTATAAATGCACACATACGTATGAGCTGGTTATAAAGATAGAAAAGCTCATGTTAAATATGGATCTGATTTAGTGGTGCTCAGCAAATTCAGGATTGGCCCGGCCGCCCTGATCCAAATCCAGTCATAATCTCCCATCATTCAAGAGCTGGGAGGAAAGGTGCTGACTGCACATTATTATAAAGCAACTATATTTCCAGGAGCTCCTTGAATGAGCTTGACATGTCCAAATAAGAAAAGAGTTTTGACAACTAAAGGATGTTCAATTCCATGGATTAGTCACTTCTTGTAATTTCCCACAATGTGTCATGTAAGTGGATCTAACGGCTAATTTAAGAACAGGGCTCTTAAATAATTAATGGGGCAAGACCTCCACAATAGAGTGCTAAATGACTAAGCAAAAAGGTTCGTTATTACACTTGAAACATCATATATTTGGTTTTTATAATCTGTTATAATGTTAGTTTTTTTTCCACCCTCTCTGATGAAAGAGGATGTAAACTCCTACTTTCCTACTTGAAATTGATGATTTCTTTATGTAAATGACACTTATGATTGGCTGGCCTCAACACTCAACACTCAATAAAATAAAATACAAATATATGGAATATGTAGAATGTGGAATATAATAAGAATAAAAGTATCATGAGGTCACCTTTAATTAATATTTATAGTATCTGAGAATAAAGTGAGCTCTTGCTGATGCTGTTGGGAATAATGAAGAGGACTAAAGAAAAAAACCCATACATTTCTATCAACTTAGGGCTGGGCGATATAGCTAAAAAATTTATCAACAATATAATGTTTCATATCGTTCGGTATCGATAATTATTGACATTTTTTATAACCTTTTTTAAAACAAAGAGCTATAGAAAAAAATGTTTAAATTTAACCACTGTATTTTTAAATTAACCCAATTTATTGAGGCAAACAACAAATATTTTTTTGTTTTAACAATCAAACACAAAATAAAAATTAAACAAATATCTAATTTCTAATGTTTTATATGCAGATTAAATAGGTTTTAAGGAAACTTTTGTCTTGTCTCCCAAGGCCACTGGAGGGCGCAATGAGCAAAATAATGCAGCACATTTAAATTGTCAACGCAAGGAAGTAACTCTATAAAAACGTGCATTACATCTAAATTAACTCATAAAAATCAAATATAATTTCTTAAATTGCATAAACAATTATGAACAAAACAGCATCATGTATTTATGCATTGCTTAATCCAAAGAGCCGAAGCACCATTCACACAGATTACATTTGAAAACATATGAGACGCAGTGAAAAGGAATAAACCTCCACAAATTTGTGACGTGTTTCCTAAAAGTTTAAACTGTTTTAACTTTGCATGGCTACATCTCTTGTGAGTGCAGCAGTTATATTTGTCCGTCTAAAAAATGTGCTGAATATGCGTTCTGTGTGAATGGCTTGGTTTCGGTTTAAACCCATTCAAGATCTTCTACGCATTGAGCTTCTATATTTCTCTAATATTTTGAATGAATAACACAGCAGCGGCGCGTCTCGTGGTCTAGACTTATAAAATATTAAAATGCAACAACGTCACTTACATCATCACCGCATCTCATGCTCCACTGATGACGCTCCCTGACGCACTCCTAACATTGCAAATGTTTATTTTAAATTCAACTAATATTCATTATTTACAATCTCCTCATCACAGGCAGGCACAGCACTCATTTCAGCATGTGTTTGTGTGTGCCGTCTGCGTCACTCAGAGCACGTGCCTATATCGTGCGCTATATCGAACATTTTTTTTCTATCGTTATCGAAGAAGGTGTACCGTCGATAAATATCGATACCGTTTTATCACCCAGGCCTATATCAACTACACGGCCAAGAGTATGTGGACACCTCCTTCTAATGCATGGGTTTGGCTTTTCGCTTTTCCAGTAACTTTTATACTACACCACACAATGACGTTCTAGAGAACTGTGTGCTTCTCAAGAACTAAGAACTAATGGCAATCTGAATAAGCCTAATTATACAGGGAGCCCGGAAGACCAAACAGTTCCTCAGTCCTTGTGAAAATCTGTATATCAAGTGCTGTGAAACATCTAAGGCTGCCAAGTGAAGCACGTCAGTGAATGTCACAGTTTTGCATCCTGCTCTGAAACCGAAAGATTTATGCATTCAGTTCGAATGGTAATCGAACGGAATTGCAGCTGTTATTTTGGTCGCACATGCACACCACTTATGTGCACCCCTGGTAATGGAAAAAAATCTGATTCTTATTGATGTTAAGTGACACATTCATAATATACAGTATGTTATTAAATTTTGCAATTTCTTGCCAATTAAATATTTTTGAGCTAAGCATTAGAAAAAAAAAATGCAAACATACGGCAAATAACATGATCAAGCCTATGTTTTAGAAAAAAAACTACCCTGCAGAATAAGAACATTATTCATCAAACTGTTTATATAAGTATCACAGTCTCTGACTATAAACTCAAAAGTTGATGGCTTGAGGGTAACCAATTCAAATACAAAACAGACATTATTCGCAAATGGTTTGCGACCCTATCAAACTATTAAGTGTTTTATTTAATTAGTGTTCCTACAAACGTCTGTAACATGTAGAACTTGTAAGAGCGCATGGCTACAGGCTATTAAGATTATTAAAAAAAACGATTAAAAAAAAACCTTTAAGATTTTCTTTCTTTCTATGACTTTTTCATGGAGAAAACTAAAATTCTTTAATTTCCCTGACTGTCAGTACAGAGAAGTACTTCAAAACGGTGTCTACAAACCTCTTTTCAACCAGTCTGCATTTGAATTGACAACGTTTTGAGGTAATTTGAGGTTTTGTTTTTCTGAGGACATTATACCAACCCATGGCCAATAATAGTAGTTTACAGCTCCTGGTTCGAGACCAGCAGGTTTTAGAAGCCGGTGCAGAGCAGATTTTTCTGCCCACAGCTATTTTTCTTTCAGTGGAAATATGTAGAATGAGGATGAGATTGCATATAGGTTTCAGCACCAGGGGTTGTACAATCGTCTAAAAGACTTTCTGGAAGACAGAAGGAGAGTTCTGATGATTTAGTGAGGCGTACTTTGTTAATACGATGGACACAGCGTCGTTTAGGATGCTCTCTCCAAACACCAGCATATTGAGCACAGGATCCACATTCAGAGCGTTAAATATGGCGATAGTGGCGACCGGATCCACAGCGGAGATCAGAGACCCAAATGCAAAACTGGAGGGGGGAAAAAGGGGGAAAATGAAGACACAGCCTCTCATAGTTTTGCTCAAAACTGCACAAGCAATATTCTCACCTGTCTGTCATTGTCATCTTGTAAATAACATCAGCCTATTCAAGAGACACATGGAAACATAACAGTCATAATTGTTGAGAAATCATACTAAAGGAGCTGTTAAGGTGTGCCAACTAGTCTAACTAGACGAACCACTTAATGAACTCACTTACACGTCTGTTTAGATGGAAAGACATGAGAAAAGCAGTTGATGCCTAACAAAACAGTAAGAAGATACCTGGCCCAGGAAATAGATTCCCCCTCCCACGATGAAGGCTGAGATCGCTGTTCCAAAGACAGCAAATAACGTGATCGAGCCTATGTTCTGGAAGAAATTCCCCTGCGGAATAAGAACTTGACTGATCAATCTGTTCAAATAACTCATCTCAGTATCACTGTATGTCTCTGAATACTGACTTGGCATGAGGGCAACCAATACTACCACAGAACGATTAATAGTGTTTTATTTCATTAGTCTTTCCTTCAAATTTCTACACTGACCAGTTCAGTTCACCCAGTGAAGGATTCATCGGACAGTTTTAAACTGAGTTGGGATTCAGATTCTTTCTTCTCTTATGTATGGCTGTTTTTTTTTTTAATGATTAAAATTACAGTATTTTTTACCTTATGTAATGAGTATCCAGACTCAAAAATTATTGGTGGTAAAAGTAATAGGAAAAACATATTGGGACGAAACATCTCTTCTTCCTGCGAAAGAAAGAAAGAAAGAAAAATGACCAAGTGTACTTGAACAAACAGACTCACATTTTGTGTTTCATTCTGGATACGGTTCATATAGAGTTTAATATAATGTTGTTGTTATTATTAATATTAATAACACAGTTGACTGTTTTGTTTTGTTTTACACTTCCTTTTTAAGTGTTTTTTTTTGTTTGTTTTTTTCATTTTAACAGATTTTTTTATTATTATTATTTGTGACCCTGGAGCACAAAACCAGTCATAAGTAGCACAGGTATATTTGTAGCAATAGCCAAAAAAACATTGTATGGGTCAAAATAATAGATTTTTATTTTATGCCAAAAATCATTAGGATATTAAAGGGGTCATATGATGTTGCTAAAAAGAACATTATGTTGTGTATTTGGTGTAATGAAATGTGTTTATGCGGTTTAAGGTTAAAAAAAAACACATTATTTTCCACATACTGTACATTATTGTTTCTCCTCTATGCCCCGCCTTTCTGAAACGCGTCAATTTTTACAAAGCTCATCGGTCTGAAAAGCGAGGTGTGCTCTGATTGGCCAGCTATCCAGTGCATTGTGATTGGCCGAATACCTCAAGCATGTGACGGAAATTTTACGCCCCTTAACATACTGTGATGCCCTGTCCGGCCGGAGCGACGAGACAAAAACATTAAAACCCATTATAAACGAGGCATTTGTTGCATCCAGTGGGGACATAATTACGGATTATAATGACTTATACTGTCTTTTTACG